GATCAGGCACCTTGTAGATGGTTTCTGAAATGGCAGAGAACCAAACACAGTTCTGCATGAAAGGGTCAAGAAAAGATGAGATCCTTTAGTATAATAAAGGCAGCACCTTCTCTTAGATAAGAAAAGTTAGCCTGGCAGTGATGGAGAGGTTATTACTGGAAATGACGCTTACATTTATCGGACTTACAAGTCTAGTGTGGATGCTGAATGTCGCCCAAAGGCCCACAGTTCAGGCAGTTTCAGTGGGATGTGGTGGAACTTTGAGGAAGTGGAGATTGGTGAGAAGGGTGCAAGTCCTCAAATGAGCCCTCAAGGGGACTGTGGGGCCTTGCCCCCTCCTCTGCTTTTTCCTAGCCACCAGATGAGCAATTCTGCTCTCCCACAGGCTCCTACTCTTGCCATTTGCATACTTGCCAGAGGCCTGAAAGCCATAAGCCTACCAGATCATAGACTGGGACCTCTAAAACCATTAGCTAAAATATACCTTTTTCCAATTTTAGTATATGTGCTGCCAAAGCAAGCACTACCTTTTTTCTTTATAAATTAATTATTCCAGGCATTTCATTACAGTAATGGAAAGCTGACTAACACTGATGAGGTTCTCCTGTGTTACAAGGGCACTACCTTCTCCTAAATAAGAAAAGTTATCCTATTTATGATGGAGACATTATTATAGGAAATGACAGTTTTATTTAGCTAGGATAGCCACATTTCCATCTTCAAAGTAAACATGACCCCAGTTCTACTGACTGCCAAATGAATTTATCATTCATTACAGAGAGGATTAACCAAATTGAAATAAGAAGGAAGGGAGGGAGAGAAGTAAAGACTAACGGAAAAGAGTGAAACAAGAAAACAAAGCTTTTTTTTAAAAAAAAAATCATCACTGGACTTTAGTGATAAGAAATTTGAAGATGTTGCTAAATTCTCATATATTTGAAACCCAGTAAACTGTCAGAAGTAATGGAACAAGAGTTAGGAGACCAAAGCAGGCCTGATCTCATAGGACGTTCCTGAAGACACAAGCCTCACCAGGCTTCCCAGTTCCTGCCCTTCCTACTGTCCCTATGACCCGGAGACTAAGAAATGTCAGTATTCCAGAATTGTAGATTTCTTTATTTTCAAATGCTCAACTATAAGTAAGAGCAGGCTGTATGTGTGTGCATGTGCATCAGATGGAAATAAATTCATAACATCCACGGGTCTTTTCAGGTTCAGATTCTGAGGATGTGACCACACTGTAGTCTTTGACGAGACTCTTACTAAAGACGAGAAGCAGCGAGATGCCGCTATAGCCTACAATCAGCTCTCCCCCTTCCCTCTTAAACACAGCCGGGAGATGCTGTCACTTCTCATCAGTGCTCCATATGCTCAATAAACGCAGCCAAAAGATAAGCACTCCTGACCTGCATGAAAAAGAGTAGAGTGCAACATCTGGTTGCTTCTGGCAGCTTTCTTTAGTGTTTTCACAGTTCTGGCATGGTGGACCCAAAGATGGAGATGAGATCCATGGTCTGGATCAGGGCAGCTCCCCAGACTCCCTGCGGGACTCCTACTTTGCACGGACAAGATCAAGGCTGCTGCCAAACACAGGCTCTTTGGATTCCCGTGGAGGTCCATATTTTAGTGAGAAACTACAAAGTTCTGCGTTTTTCAACCCTCATGAGCTATCGATCATTGTCACACTTGCTTATTAACCCATATGCTCCCTCCCTTTAAAAGGGTCTCAGAAATGGGTGGCAAGAGTCCTTGGGAGGCTACTTCTGGATGTACTCTAATCACAGGTGTCATTATTGAACATTTGCTCTCTACCAGACACTTACTATGTATACATTTTCCATTTAAAGGCAGATAGAAATCCCATTGTATAGATTGGAAAGCTCAGTTTAATAAGGACAAATCATATTCCTAGGGTCATACTGCTGGTAAGAGTCCTGGGATCTGTCCTTCCCTAAGTCCTGCTTTTAATATACTCTACCCTGGGAGGAGGGGCAGCACCACTGGTCCACAGGTGTGCTTGTCTGCAGGAGCATCGGTTTGCAGTCAGAAGCTCCCCCTGTGGCTAGTGGGGAGAATTAAGTTGTTCATGGAAGCTCTCCAAGCCTCTCACTTCATCTTTCATGTGGAAATAATCATGTCTACCCTGCCTTTTCCTAGCATCAACACCTGTTGTTGAGTTCCAACAAGTTCATTTCTCTTGGATAAACTTCCTTCTCCATCTTTTCAATGCTAGGAATGAGATGATGGGTAAGAGAGAGGAAGTCTAAAACAAATATTAGGAATTATATTGCTTTGCATATTTTTAATTGTCTGTGTAACTGGGAAAACATGGTTTCTAATGTTTGATGATGAATTTCACTAACATTAAAAGCTATTAAGACAGGAAATTAAGTGATGGAAATAGGAGCCTGTATAGTATAACCTCAGTAAATAAGCAGAAACCAGAAGAAAGGTAGACAGGAAGCAGACAATACAGGAATTTCCTCTGGCTCTTGTTTAATAATTAGCCAGGGGGTATTTCATTTCCTATGCATGTGGCTAATTGGTTCTTTAAGTCTCTAGCAAATTAATTTGTCCAAAGTTATTTAATTTCATTCTCAATGAATAAAGAACTGAAAAACAGTAACAATACTTGTGACAAAGCAATAAAATGAACTGACAAACAATCTTAGCAAACCATAACATTTTGTAGTTTGAACAGGCCTATGATTTTTTTCAACCAAAGCATCATACTAGAGTGAGCCCCATATTTTCTTGAAACCCCTAATTGCCTGGCTGAAGAAACCCTTTGGAGAACACACACACACACACACACACACACACGCATGCATTGACTCCCACAGAGCTGTTAGAAAAATGTTGATGCAAATAATAGCTAAGAAATTCCCAATGAGCATGTTTATTCCTCCAGCCATCATTTAACACAGCACTGGCGCACAACAGGATCCATACCAATCTGCAAGTGAGAACTTTGGGGAACTCTTAGAAAATTCACACAGAGATCAAGAAATAAAAATGAATTTATGAGGGTTCAAGAAAATAAAAGATAGTAACAGGATGTATGCCTCTCACCACATAAGATCTGTGTATATGTAAAAAATGAAATATTCATCAACCCATATGAAAATGATTTGGCTGAAGCTTGGCAATGTGATCATAAAATCAGTCAATTTTCTCCACTCTGAATCACTAAAAGAACAAAAATTCCCACATGAATGGGTTCAAACTTTTTTTTTCACGTTAAGGAGATGGTGCATACTTGGCGTTAGCAAGCCACCTGTAACTAAACCTACCACTAGACAGACAGCCTTTGTGTTAAACACACAGCCTCATCATTCCAGCATCTGTGTTTATTCTGTCTCAAAATAGAAATATCAGGAACCTCTATGCCTCTTCCTCCAGTTTCCACTGGTCCGAAGGAACAAGAGGCTGGCTCTGGATGGGGACCACAGAAACAGCACCATACCTGTAGAACATCCCTCCTTGTCCCACTGCCCAGCTGCTCGCACCCTTCCACTCCAACCCACAGGTCTCCCAACAGACTCCACCAGTTAATCAAATGTGCATGAAAGTTAACCTAGGAGACATCTGGAAAATCCACACACCGTCAGAAACGGTACAGAGGGCTTTGAGAAAACCTAGGGGAGGGAGATAACTTACGTTTGAGATTTCCTTCCATCTCCCCTACTCTAACTCAGTCCTGTTAAAGGCATTCATTACAGGCCAGTGTTCAGACATAAAATGTTCACTCAAAAGAATCAGAGGACTTTGAGTGAAAAGTATTACACTGTTAAGAAATCATTCACTTCCAACTGAAACAGCATTTCCAAAAGAAGCCAGGCACAGGATCAGAGCCCACTAATATTTATCAGTATTAATTTATTTACAAAAGTAAACAAAAAGGCTTTAATTAGCTCTACCAAAAAGAAGCAGGTGGAGACTGACAGTATGTCAAGCTCCAAATAACCAGAATATAGGAATCTCAAAGAAGAGCTCTTTTTTTTTTAAATCTGGAGGAAAAAAACTACTACGACTTTCTTCAAAAATAGAATATGAAGGGTTATATAAGAAATCATTCCAAATGTTGGACTCAATCAGAACAACTGAAACTGATTTGGAATATGGTTAAACTTCTTTACCTAATGGCTACTAATAAATAAGACTTCTCATTAGCTGGCAGGAAGACAGCTGCTACTGGCCTGATCCTTCTAAAAGACTCCCATGTACTTATTTGTTTTTCCAGATAAAATCTATAAAGTCCCAAAATATTGTTTCTGGAATCAGAAATTGCCCCATACTGTCAGACTTTTCTAGGCCGAAGAGTCTCCTTTCACCTGTTCTAGAATTGTTTATTTTGGACCTCTTCTGCCAAAACTCCAATGACAATGAAGAGTTTAGAAACCTTGTGGTAAATCAGAAATCGTTGGGAGAAAAAAGGAGAATAAAAAATTACCCACGCAGGGCACACTAGTCAGCCTACACTTTTAAACCTAAAATAGCTAAGTTTTCTCATTATTCTGAGAAGTTATACAGAAGATTTAGCCAACTGAACTTGAGGTGCCCTATATTTTATCAGCAAGAAAAAAAAAAAAAAAAACCTGAAGCCTATTTATCCCTAATTTAGAAACCTACTGCAACCCTCCTTTCCCACAGAAGGGCTGTGTGATGTGTAAATTCCCAATCTCAGTGGAGACAGCACCTGGGCTCAAGTCACCAGCGGCTCCACCTGCCAGGTCCCACCCAGCTCAGTAGCAGCAAGGCCAAACACATCTTGCAAATGTCCCATTCCCCTCTCCTTACTCCCAGAATCTGGTTCCAACACAGCGTTATACCTCGGGACGAAAAAAATCAAACACCCTTAAAAAGAGGGGGAGACAGAGAGAGAGAGGGCTGGCATTATGTAACAATGTACAGCAGATAAGGCTTTGAGAAAACGAAAGTAGCCAGAGGAGGGGCAGGGGAAGCAAGGGGAGCTTCGGGGCGCTGTCGCCACCACTTACTCGAAGGCAAAGAAGAGTCCGCTAGTGACCAGGATGAGGATGAGCGTCAGGTAGAAGACGCCCGTCTGCCGGGCCATCATGATCCTCCCGTTGCAAAAGAACTTGTTTCTTCCCGGGAACACCTCCCATTTCCTCCGGGCCGCAATTTTGTTCTTCTTATGGGGCGACTCCATGGGGGAGGAGCTGTGGGTGCTGATCTGACTGTACTCGCAGTCTTTCATGGGTCCGCCGCCGCCGGGAGGCATCCACGAGGGCAGCCGGCTGGGGGCGCACACCCCCAGAAGCCCCCCGGCCGCGCGGGCCCCACCGAGCCACGACCGCCCCCCGAGCCGCGGCCCCGCGGCCCCTACAAGGGCTCTCGGCTCGGCGACAACTTTCCCGAGGACACCCAGGTTAATCTCTTGGGGAACCCAACTGTCATAGCAGAATCCGCTTTCGAGAGGGACGTTGCTCGCTCGCACCCGGCGGCAGCGGTCCTCGGTTGCTTCCAGCCGCTGTCCCGGGGCTCCCGGGCCCCGCGGGGCGCGGGGGACAGCCCGGCCGACCCGCGAGTGACCGTGCGCCCAGCCCAGCTGCCCCCGAGCCCCCGGCCGCGCCTCCGCTCAGGCCTGCAGATCCTCGAGCGCTGCGCCCCGAGGGGACACGAGGCGGCGGCCCCGGCGCCGGCTTCCTCAGCAACCACTTCTGCGCCTCGGCCAGGTTGATTCTCCTCCTTCCTGCTGGTGGTGGATCCTCCCAGGAGACCGAGCTGCAAACTAGGAGGCAGCTCGCGGTACCGGCAACCCCTCCCAGGGGTGGGGACAGCCACGCGCGTTATTCTGTCAGGAACAGCTCGGCGAGAGCCCGGCAGCTGCTCGCGCCGCGACCCCGCGTCGCCGCGCCTGGCAGCCGAGCCGAGTCCCCTGCCCCCGCGCGGGACTCAGGGCCAGGGTGACGGCTGCTGCTAGTCGGCTACGCGGTAGGGGGCTGCTTTGCTTCCTCCTGCCCAAAAGAGCCAGTCCCCGGGCTAGGAGGGCCGCCAAAGGGCCGCAGGGACACGGCCACAGACACTAGTTTGCAAGGCTCAGCCCCGGCGCGCGCGCGGCGCTCGGAGCGGTTCCGCCTCCTCTCAGCCGGGTGGGCGGCGGCACAGGCGCCTCGACAACCCGGCTCCTCCTCCTGCTCCTCCTCTCAGCCCGCCGAGCCCTGACACCCGCTCCGCAGGGTCCCCGCCCCAATTCCCTCCGGGCTGGAGCCGGTACTCAGTTCCGGCAAAGGCGCTGCTCTCCAGGTGACATCGCCTTGGGAGCCATCGGGTCCTTCCCGCCGCGCCGTGCGCTCTCGCGGGCTTCGGTCGGTCCACCTGCCGGCTTCTCTACCGGTTTACTAAACATTCCTTCATGGGACACGCACATTCATTCACATTCATTCTCTAGCAAACCTATTTATTTTTGCGATTCCTGGGGACCCGAGGAGACACGGCGCGGAGAGGTGCCTCTCCCCGCCTGCCCGAGAGCTTCCAGCACCTCTAACGGGGCGGGGTGGGCCAAGGAAGGTGCGTTTCCCGGACTGGGGAGCCTTGGGGCCAGCTTTCAAGCAAGAAGGAAAGAGTGGAGGGGAGAGGGCGGAGTGGTCTGGGTCCCCTCTGGCACTGGCCCCTCCGGAGCAAAAAGCCTCTTGGCGGCCAGGCTGTTTGGGTAGCTACCTCCAGGTAGCTTTCTTCACTTTTCAGCCCATGGACGCTCACATTCTGCTTATTTAATTTCTCCCTACCGAGGGGATTCCTCGGCAGCAAAAGGAACACGCGCCTGTCCACTCGACCCGTGCCTCCCTCTGGATCCACTTAACAGCCCTGCAAACCCAAGACGCAGCCCAGTGCCCTCCCGAACCCGAAGCGCCTGCGCGGGGTCACAACCCTCACTAAGGTGGGCATAGACAAGGGGCATCCGAGAGCAAAGACAGTTGGGCGGGGATGCTCGGTTTTCAGAGCTGCGCTTTCCTTTCACGGCCCACTGGGATGTGTAGTTTTTGCTTGCTCTGTCCGGCTCTAAGAGGAAATACAGACTGGAGTCTTAAAAACTACAAGTCCCTGCATACCCCGCGAAGAGGGCGGGAAAGGCGTGGTCCTGGGCGTGTACGGTGGTTGAAGATGAAAACCAACAAAGGGTATGGCGGGGTAGAGACCTTCATGCTAGGCGTTTGGCGCAGAAACACATTTGCACAGTCTTTCGAAGAGCATCTTACCTTGGTCATGGAAACTGCTTGTTCCACGTCCCAGAGCTCTGAGTAGTTCCCTTACAGTGAGCAGTGTCAAAGGGAAATGAGATTGGCTATTCAAAAGAAGAAATGGACCAGTTGGAAAGTTTCCTGTAATGAGGAGAAAGTGGTGAGAATCCTCCCATTTAAAGTATACCGTGAAATTAAAGACGTTATGAATTGAAATGGAATAGAGTTTCGTCAGCAGATTAGGGTCTTGGGGGAATGGATAGGATCTTAAACACACTCAATTAATTTTAAATCCTTTTAGATACTGTACAACAGACAAGCTAATGGGACAAACAGTGACTGCACTGTTATTAAAGATCCAACTGACAAGCTGCTGACATATCCAGTGACAGCAGCTATGTATATTTTCCTGTCCTTTGGGTAATGGGCTCAACAAGATGTTACTCTGTTGCAAGTACTTCCTCTCTGGGCGTCCAATTAATACAATAAATCCATTGTCTTGGTGGCTTTCAATTCCTTTTTTTTGTTTTGTTTTTTTTTTTGTTTTGTTTTGTTTTTTTTACAGAAGAGTCTACAAGGTGTTCAGGATCTCATACTAGATCAGACTCGTAGTGATCCCCCTGTTTACAGCCTCCCAAGAGCAAGGATTACAGGCATGTGCCACTACACCCAGTCTCAATTGCTGGCTCAGCACACAGGGGTGGGGGGCGCTACCTGGCAGGCCAGGGATGAAAGTCCCAGCTTAATCCGCTGAGCTGTTTGGCCAGCTTCCATTTCTTTAGACCTAGGTTTAGAAGTATTAGTTAAACAGTAAAGGATTTGCCTGTCATGCATGAGACTCTGAGTTCAATCCCCATAACTGTCCCTAAAGAGAGAAAAAAAAAAATCCCCTCTTGTCCTCCAACTGGACTTTTCAGGGTTATGCTCTTAAAAAGTCCTTATATGTTAGAGATACATATTAAGGCATTTGGAAGTGCAGTGACTTTAAGTCTGGCCATCTACCCCCAAAGACACAAGGCTATAGAGGAAACAACACTGGAAATGTTGAAAATAGTTGATATCAGGTGATGTACCTGCATCTAATCCTCTATTGCTGCAAATTATCATACATATAGTGGCTTTAAAGCAGCGCAAATGTATCACATGGTTTTGGTGAGTCAGGTGTACCCACATGTTGGATCCTCTGTTCAGGGTCTCACACATCCCATCGTGGTGTTGGCCAGGCTATGTCCTCATCACCTGGAGCACTGACTTGACTTCCATACTCATTCTGTGTTACAGTTCAGATTGAAAAATGGACCCCCAGCCTCCTCCTGTGTGAAAGGTGAATGTACTGTGTGGGTGATATGGCTGGATTGCTGTTAGGCAGATTCTGGTCCAAGGAGACTAGTCCAAGGGGGCCTCACCTGAAAGGGCTTATCTGCACAGGGGTTCCCCTCTTCTCTGCTTCCTAAGCACCATGAGGTGAATGACTTTTCTTTTGTCATTCCTGTATGTCATGCCCTTTTGCCTTAGAGCCAGCCTTCTGTAGACTGAAACCTGAGTCAAAGCCTCTCCTCCTTTAAATTGTATCTGGTATCATGTCTCAACAATGAAAAACATGATTGAGATGCTCAGATAGCTGATAGAATTCACCAGTCGTAGATCTGAGCACCCACCTTCTTCCTGACTTAACTGGACACCATCTGCATCTCAAATAAGGCACCTGCAGTTCCTAGAGGGCACCTATAATTTGTTGTCACATAGGCTTTCCCAGCATGGCCATTTACTTCATGAAGCCAGCAAAGAGATTCAGCGAGCAGGGCAAACTCTGATGTCCATAGTCACAGAGGCCACACCAGATGTGCACATCTTCTTGTCCAGAAAGCTAGTCACAGGTTTCACCCATGTTCACAGAATATGTCTGATTCAGGGATGACCCTGTCCACCACAGTGGATAAGAGTGCCCATTATGCCATTTTTACCCATTGAACCTACTTATGCGTATGTTTGGATTTCCCATAATAAAAATGAGTAAATTATTTATTTTAATTACATATATGCAGGGCTAAAGCAGGAAACTGAAACATGAAGATCACAGGAAAGTACTTATTCTACTGAGCCATCTTCCTGGCCCGAGGATCACAAGCTAGAGTCCAGCAAGTTAACAGGACCCTGTTTTAAAAACTATTTTTAAAAGGCTAAAGATATAGTTCAATGTGAAAGCCATGGTTTCAATCCCAAATACCATACACACACACACACACACACACACACACACTCACTCACTCACTCACTCTCACTCAAGGCTGGCTTGTACAACTTAGCAAGACAACATGACATTATCTCAGAATAAATTTTTTTTAACGATCAGGGATCTAGCCCGATACTCCCTACAATCAATTTTCAGCACTGCATAAAATAGAAATAAATAAATTTTCCACAGCAAAAAGCTTGCCCATATGATTTCTACACACTTGATGCTACAATTGTTTATGCATATCTTCATAATGTTTGCATGTTTCCTCCCAGTCCCTGTACACTAAAACCCTGTTATGGCTTGTGTCTAGATGTGCCAGCCCCAAAGCTTATGCAGTCATATGTGGGGCTCTTTCACAGGTTCTGCCTGCCATGAACTGCTGCTCCTCTGTGATGCCTGTCTGCCATGCTACTCTGTCTTGGAGCCAGCTGATTCTGGACTGAAATCTCTATAAACTGTGAACTAAATAAACCATTCCCCCTTCAACTTTGGGTATCAGGTATTTTATCTCAGCAAAGGGAGAAAAGTAACTAGGACAGACCCCCAGTTATTAATTAATAAGTAATTAATAATTGTCATATTCAGTTGGCAATTGCTTGTGTGGATGATTCAGCCATAAAGAAGTTCACTAGAATCCAGTGTGACAGCCCTGGGTTTTAACGCTTCATCTTAAATATGCCATATAAGATATAATGGATTTCTTTCATTCAGTAATTTCACCACTAAGTTCTATTTCAACAGCAGGGAAATAAAAGGATCCAAAATAGAAGTTTCTACTGAGGGAGGGCATAGGAGAGAATTGGAGGGAGCAAATAATCAAATGATTAATAAGACAACTTCAGAGAGCAACTACACGAAAAGTGCAAAGCCAAGTGGTAGGATACAGACATAAGTGGGATGAGAGACCTCTGTGGAGACACTGGAGCTGGGACCCAAATAAGAGCAACATCAAGTGCAAAAGCTGCCAGACAGAACAAGCCTGGAAAGTTCTAGAGTTTCCAAGAAAACATCTACTGCATTATAAGGACAGTGAGTAGAGGTAAGCAGAGAGTTGTGAGACAGCTGGAATTGCTTTTGTGTGCATTGAAAAGTCAGTTACTCTGTAACCAACATTGGTTCAAGTCTACAGGGTCAGAAAGAAGTAATATATGGATTCTAAGCTTCCATGCGAGGAGGACCCGGATTATAGCCCCAAGCATATATTTTGCATACAAGGTAATTGAAGCCCAGAAATTTCCTTGGGAGTGCCTGAAAGGAAAAAGAGTTCAAAAAAGAGTTCAAAAATGCATTCCACATTCTTGGAATCTATGGAAGCTTGGAATCCGATTAACTGTGGACTTTGACTGCCAACTGAGAATAGAGTGAATCCTGATTTCAGAGAAGATAACTCTTAGGTCCAGACTGTAACAAAATGCCTCTGATTGTGACAGTTTAGACAGGCAGAACAAAAGGGGTTAGAATCTCAGGGAAATGGTGACAGGTATAGGCAAGTAAGAAAATTGCTGGGAAAACACATGATGTTCCTATCTGGATTACCATCAACGAGGATCCAAGTGCAAGAATATTTTGGAGGGGATTTTAGAAAACAACACTAGGAATACACAGTGAGACATGGAAAAAGAAGAAGCAAAGCACATACTATTAAGCAATCTATCCTACAGGCCTCTGAGGCACAGACCTTCCTGGAAACTGTG